AAGATGATTGATGGTTTTCTGGAGTGTCGATGCGTCGACAATGTGGCAAGTGAGGAGGAGGAGATGGTGGGGCAGGCGAAAGGGAGGTCGACATGGACTATCAACAATCAGGTTCCGAATCCTTCCTACGTGCCCTATGGTATCGATGGACCACGAATTAGCATCACTGGCGCCTCTTCAGTGCTCATGAGGTATTTGTACTGCTTCATTCCAAATTGTGCCATCTTTCTGCCTGCCTTACGGAATGTGCTTATGGTCTGTACTCGTTCCTTAATTAGGTACGTCTCGCTGCTGAAAACCGACACCTCCTACCCCCTGAAGATCTTGTACTCAGTGCATAAGGAGTTTTGCGGCTATCGTGTTCACATGCTTATGCCGCCGCCATCACCGCTGCAAGACATAATTAAGGTTGGTCCCTGTCTGGCATCATCTTTCACCATCTCGACGCCTGTTTGGTGGTAGTAGTGCTCTGTGCAACCTTGAGCATACGAGTAGCATGTAGCAGTTTGTTTCTTTTGACGTGTCAGGGTCCACTGGCAACACAATTGGTGAGACTTAATGCTTGCACAATGTTGGTGAGTGCTGACATTGCTCTGATTGCGCCTTGTCTGTCTCAAACAGTGCGCTGCACTGGTACTTGTGCGGAGTGGTTGATTTGGCACCGCCTGGGGAGGCGGCAGCCATCTTTTGTCAGGGTTGGTGAATGAGACAAATTCAATCAAGGTTCATTTGGCAGAAGCAGTGCTAGTTGTTTGGTGAGTCTTTGTCCTACTGCAAGGAGGTCGACAAATGCCTGGGCCAGCTTTGCGCTTCACCGTTCGGTCTGCTCGAGTTGAATCAGCCTAATTCATGAATTGATGCCAAATCAAAAAAAATGTGGACAACTTCGATGCATAGGCTCCTTTCTTCATTTGCTATATTTATTTCAACCATTATATCCATCAGCAGACTTGAGTGATGCAATTTGTATGCATTTTGACACCTGGCCTATCTATAACGTGTGGTAGTGCTCTGCTACGAGGTAATTTGGGGTTAAATTTCTAGACGTGATTAGTATACATTGTACCAATAATCTTCCCAGGTTCTTATTCCTGAATGTAGTTGGCCAATAAGATCGTTGTTGTTGTTTTTTATCGAATTTCGCTGGTAACATCCAATCGTCAATAGGCTGCTTTTGATTGATTAATTTTCTGCTCTCTGGTGTTTTTCATTTATGTCCTCGTCAACGCGAAAGGTGGTTGTAGCATCAGTGGGCCATTTGCAATGAGGTTGACATTATTTTTTGTTAATACGCTTTCATGTTATTGTTCCTAATAAAAAATAAGCTTCATTTAAATATACAAAGTACGCTAAGTCGCTATATGTAACGTGGTGCATTACTTTCTCTTCTATTCCTAAGATGTTAACCGAAATCCATTGTTTGTTACTGCATCTCCAACCAACTTTTATCGTCGTTGTGATCTGAATTACCTTGCAATACGGCTCCATTTAATGACCATTAATGCTTCTGAAGTACTCTGCCTTAGTCTCGTACCATTCTCTCTCTAACCCTTTTCGTAATACGTATCATTTATTTGGCAGAGTTGGTGATTCCTATCCTGTTTATTCTCCTTTGAATGCATCGCCAATTTCTGACTCCAATCACTAGAGCTTTGTACAATTTGGAAAATGTACATTTTATTTTACCCAATAAAAAGGATTGAGACTTCTTGCTACTGTAGCAGCTAGGGCGAATATTTCAAAGCAAACAATTTTCGTAGACGCTTTTGACGTTTCCTCGCTGTGTTTCTTGTCAATTTTATTGTCTTCTATGCAGTCATCTACTTTTGTCGTTAAATTTTGCTCTTCATTATTTGCTTTCTTGTGGTTCTTCCTCCAAAGTTTTTCATTCACTTCCTCTTACTTCTTGGAAGGTCTTGTAGGCCCTCATCTACTTCCAGTCCACTATCGTCGTCTAATAGAGCTAAACATACAACTTTATCCAATTCTTTGGAAAAAGGCATAATGGAAGGCCTTACAAATGACACTGGTAAATTGGACCGGAGAAGCATAACAAATGGTGAAGACTCAGGGTCACATAGCGTCGTGTTGAAAGCACGTCCGTCAACAATGTCGATGGAGGAAAAGAATACCATCATTACTACCGTCTCAACGGGCTCTATCGATCGGTTTACCTCTAATAGTAATGATGATGTACAAAAGGTAGACGTTGAAAAGGAAACAGTCTTGGATGTGGTTCGTAAGCCCCTGTCGCCTAGCATGGTATATTGCGGTGGACCCCCTCCGACTAGACAAAATCTCACCTTAAATGGTGCTACAGAGTCCGTGGTATGTCCGCTTGCCTAGTCGCATGCCCTCTCTTCCTATCTGACTCTATTTCACTATGTTAGGTATCTCCCCATGACAATGTTGATGGCGAATCTCCGCTGGATGGTGTGAACATTTGCATCGCTGCCGATGAGCTGCCATCAAAGAAACGAAAGTCAACCAACCGACCGTTAAACATACCTCGGTTTTACCCGATCCACGTAACTTTCTTTCCTTGCTGTAGCGTGAACATTGAGGTTCCGCAAAGTTGGACTTGCTTATTTGGCAAATTTATAGAAGCTGTCCTCCCTTTCGGCGCCCTATCAACAGCCCATCAAGGCGAATCAGCCAGTTCACCTTTATGTCTGGCAAATGCCATTGGCGGAAGAGGTCGCTTCTCTCATCAAAGTGAATGCAGCGTACTTCCGGTACACCGATCAGACGATCGGTCTCCTCTTCTCCAAGCCCATTTCAAAGGTTTGTTGTGATGTGCACTGTTGTTGTTAGCCTTTTGGGTGCGTGGAGACAGGGTTGAATTTGGCATCGAGGCCAGCCACATTGGCTGCATCATGGCTAGCGGTATGTTGATTGTTGGGTGAGGCGGGTCGACGTTCGATGGTGGACTGATATGTGAAACGCATGCATGTCTGATGAAAAATGCATGAAAGTGTTTGGTGC